CAAAGATAAAATTGCATATCGTAGCGGAGCAAAACCAAACGATATTTTGTGTGTTACGGGCGATTTAGGAGCTGCTTATATGGGTTTACAAGTATTAGAGCGTGAAAAACAAGTATTTTTGGCAAATCCAAATATGCAACCCGAATTGAGCAATAAAGAGTTTTTGGTAGGAAAACAACTAAAACCAGAAGGCAGAACTGATATTATTCATGAGTTGCGTGAAGCGGGCATTGTACCAACTTCTATGATTGATATTTCTGATGGATTGGCTTCTGAGGTGCTGCATTTATGCTCGCAGTCGGGCGTGGGAGCTCAAGTGGTGGAAGAGAATTTGCCTATCGAAGATATTACAATGCTGACGGCAACAGAATTGAATATCAACCCAATCACCACAGCAATGAATGGGGGCGAAGATTATGAATTGTTGATGACAATTAGCCAGAAAGATTATGATAAAATTGTGAAAATTACAGAGATTTCAATAATTGGTTTTATGACTGAAAATAAAGCAGCCGAACTACTTTTAAATTCAGGAACAAGAGTGCCAATTACAGCACAAGGCTGGAATCATCTTAAATGAGATAAGAGATTTATTTGAGTATTTTACTTGAATTGTGTTTATATAGAGGTTAGTTTTAAGCATACCAACCTAATAAAACAAAATTGTCCTGCCTCCCAATAGTGTAACCATTTAAAATTGGAGGAAAAGTGTTAATTTTCCAAACTTTTAAACGGTAAAAAAAATGAATGCAAGTAAATTTAATGAAACACAAATTGTTTCTATTTTGAAGAGTCAAAATTCCGATAAGACAGTAGAAGTTATCTGTCGAGAATATGGAATAGCTCCTGCAACTTTCTACAATTGGAAAAAGAAGTACGGGGGAATGGGGTGTAGGACAAGTTTAAAATTTGTGCGACCGCATCGGCGGTCCGATTCTCCGAAGTCGAGCTAATATTGTATCTTATGTTGCTACAAACGTTTGACATCTCCGATGTCTTTTTTACCTAATTTCGGAGAAATTACACGTTTATAGTAATAAATTTACCAAATATCAGTTCACGACTTCGGAGAAGTCGCACATTTTACTCCTTTTAATTGGAAAGATATATAACCCCTATACCAATGCCTCTATTAATTACTTTTTTAGGAATACTCTCGCTCGTTTTGCTCGTAGTTGTTGTCAAGCTCGATACATTCATCTCATTCATAATTGTCTCAATTGGGCTTGGTTTAGCAAGTGGAATGGAAATTCAGAAAATTGGACTTTCGATTCAAAAAGGAATTGGAGGCACATTGGGCGAGCTAGTTTTGATTATTGGCTTTGGTGCAATGTTAGGCAAATTGGTGTCAGAAAGCGGTGCTACTCAACGAATTACCGATAAATTGGTCAATATATTCGGTAAGAAATATTTGCAATGGGGTTTGGCATTGGCGGGCTTTATTATTGGCATTCCGCTGTTTTATAATGCAGGCTTTATGATAGTGATTCCGTTGATATTTGCCATCGCAAATTCAACAAAATTGCCCATTTTATCTATTGGCATTCCAATGCTTGCGGCACTTTCGGTGGCACATGGCTATTTGCCGCCACATCCATCGCCATCGGCAATTGCTACACAGCTTCATGCCGATTTGGGCAAAACCCTAATCTACGGAATATGCGTGGCAATTCCTGCGATTGCCTTAGCTGGGCCAATTTTTGGCTCAACCCTAAAACGTTTTAATCCTGTAATTAACCAAAATATATTTAGCTCAAAACCGCTTTCAAAAGAACAACAACCAAGTCTTGCAATAAGCCTTTTGGTGGCATTGATGCCTGTTTTTATTCTGATAATTACCTCTGTTTTGAAAAATTATTTTGTTGATAATCAAATACTTAACTTTTTTTCTGAAGCTTATATTACCATGTTGGTGTCGTTGTTGGTTGCCATTTGGTTGCTTGGACTTCGAGAAGGAAAATCAATGAAAACAATTAGCAAATTACTAGAAGAGGCTTTTAAAAGTAGCTCGGTTATTTTGCTGATAATTGGTGGGGCAGGGGCATTAAAACAAATTTTGAGCGATAGCGGTACAAGTACTTATATTGGTATGTTGCTGCAAG